CCCCCCCCCCCCCCCCCCCCCCCCCCCCCCCCCCTCTTTTTCGTTAACAGGAATGACATCTGCTTCAAGAAGATAAATAATGAGTGAGAGATAATTCTGCGATTAAAAGCTTCTGGAATTGCCAAGTAAATGTAGAAAGCACATTCAACATCGTTGCTCCCATGTCATACTATCTCCACAATATTGGTAGCAAGGATCATTCTCCCATCACAACAAAACAATTCATAACAATTTCAAATTCAAATTCCTACCTCACTTATATTAATCCAAAGACCCATAAAGTAGATAAAAGTTACTACAAAGCAAATCACATTAATATCACCTTTGTTGGCGAAGTTTCTCAGCTAATGGATCTAGAGGCTGTTTAGGTTCTACCACAACAGTTTTCGCTTTCTTTTCAGTAGTTTTTGCTGCTGGTTTCTTTGGAGCGGTTTCAGGAGGAGGTTTAACCACTGGAACCTGGGAGACCGAATAAAAAAAGAAAGAAGAAAAGGTGTAAAAATATAACTTATACCAACCCCAACCTTAACAAGACGTAGTTTCTATGTGCGCTCCACCACAAACTTACAAAGGAAAAAAAAAACTCCCGTTTCTGCCAGGTTTAGGAAATTCAATAAAGCTGCCTATAACTATTAATGATTGCCAACCTTAGAATAAAAAACTCACCACAATGTTTTAGATGTTGGACTAGTTTAGACCATGAATTGTTCAATTTCATCACTACCAATCACTGAAGAACTTCTTTGTCATTATCTTAGGTCTTAACATTAATGGTCAATGAAACAAACATCATTAGTAAGAGAACCACTAAATTCCCACCGGTGCAGGTTCATCTTCATCCTCCCAGGATTCTTTCACATCGTTGTCATCCACATCCTCATCGTCCCATTTATTCTTTGGCTGCTCCTTCTGGAGTGGTGGAATGTTCTCATCCTCTGAAAGAAAACAATTACATATATAAGCATAGACAATTAAACATAGAATCATGCAGTTAGGAGGAAGAACAAATACAGCACTAGGGATGGCGATGTTCCATATTGTCTTTTGATGCCTTAACAGAAATGCAGACTACACAGACATACTTGATATAAAATGACTATTGCTTGAACTTAAGATCAGTTGGGAGTTGGGAAATGTTAAGAGAAAACAGCACTAGGAAGGAGGATGTTCCATATTGACTTTTGAGCCTTAACTATCATATAAACAGACTACACTGTACGACCTTGAACTCAGATCAGTTGAGAGTTGGGACATGTTAAGAGCACTATGGGCACATTTTCAGAGAAAATGAAGAAAAATAAAATCGGTAAAATAATGACAAGGTCAGTTCTTTTTTTTTTTTTTTTTTTTTTTTTTTTTTTTTTTTTTTTTTTGCNACGACCATGGCCTAATTCCTAAAAACCAATGCCACCACATCCACAACTGTAGATTGTCTAGTCCATATCTGTAATTTTTACCCCTTAGTTCATTTTAAAATTAGATCCCATCATCTGCTCCTTGGATAATGACATATGAATTCCTCCTCCCATATCTAGCACCTATATCCAGTCTCTTCCAGTCTTGCTCAAACCACAACCACATGCATCCTATTATTTATTTATTTAATTTTTTTTTTTGTAGTGTCTTTGTCGTACTCGAGTCCTGCATTTTATATGATTATGATCATCCATTCTATCCACATTTTCAAGTGTTGTCTAAATTTATATAATATATATATATATAGAAACAAATTAAGTATTGCGCTTTATATACTAATAATATTACAATCAATACCAAAGATGTTCTCCAAAGGAATATGCCCCAATTGGTCATATCCCCCAGATGGTGTTGGTAGTGTAAGTCAAATGATGAATTACACGGTCATATATTCATCCATTGTTCATTTGCTAGGAGGTTATGGAATATAATTTATGCTGCTTCTGGGTGGTCCCTGGTTTTCCCTAACGATGTGGAGGATCTTCTTAGTATTGTTTTGTTGGGCCATCCCTTCAAGAATGTAAAGGCAATACTGTGGCTTAATACTACTCCCGCTTTCTTTTAAGATTCTTTGGACGGAGAGAACCAAAGATTTTTTTTATGGTCTTTTCAACGTGTTCTTTGATCTAGTTATTTATTATGCTATTCTTGGTGTAGACGTGCAAATTTTTTGCTTCCTATACATGTGCTTCCCTTATGACCAATTGAGAATGTTTGTGGTGATTTCATGCATCAATGAGATTGTTTCTTACCCAAACCAAAAAAATAATTAGAATAAAAAGAGGAAAATTAGTTCAAATGACCAACATATATACATACACAACATCTTTTTTATAGAGACTCACTGCTTATTCAATCACCTAAGGAAAAAAAATGAAAGACTAAAATATAAACCATGTAGCATTACCCCAGTCATCCATCGACCTCTATCACTTATTACTCAGAAAACACTAGAATTCAACTCAGTGCAGCCCAACCCTGCTCATAATACAAGAGATAAGTATTAGCAACACAGCACAAGCAGTATACAAAACAGAAGGCCTAGTAGAATCTAAATGTTGATAAAATAAACAGTAAACAGTCACAGTCGCATTCAAGGAAAAAGAAAAAAAAGCCAGCAATTAGCAAGGAAAATATCATAAAAGTTTTGAGACTCTATTTTTCTAATAAGAATTGAGCTTTCGTGGAGAGAATGAAATATTACAAAATCAGGGGAGAGGACATATAAACAGAGAGCCAAACAAGGAGCCTCAAAGCTAACTACAAAAAAAATGGAAAAATGTTGCAACTACACGATCACAAAGCAGACAGTAAAAAACCAGCACTCAACACATTTGATCTCTTTCCCGTTAAGTCAACCGAGGATTCAATTCCAACGAGCTGCCTTTATTTTCCTCCTTACGACAGAGAAAATTAGAGTAGTGAAACTAAGTAGCTCGATCCCAATCAGATCAAATAAAATTTTGATTCCAAAACGATCAAAACTAGAAGAACTCCAACAAATACTAAATATCCTACTACCGCAGCTAGAAAACTGACTACAGCATCCAAGGAACAACTTTCCTTAAAGAAAAAACCACGCAAGACAATCAGTACCTAGAATCTCACAACCAAAAAGTAACGTATAATCTGACGCCTGAAGTAAAAAGATAGAGAGTACTAAAAAAAAAAAAAAAAAAAAAAAAAAAAAAAAGGAAATA